TGTAACGTAGCAGCGTGACATTGTTTCGGCATGTTTTTCAGCTCGTCTCAACGTTATCGTGCCTGACTGCATAATGTTGCTTGTTTAATGTAAATTGAATGCACGAAAAATAAAGTAAAAGAAACCGAAGCATCAACGGACGCCTACGATGTACATTTTCATTACATCAACACAGCAAATACAAGTGAGTGCACAGAAGAATAGAAAAAAGATCGGAAGTAACGAGAAATAAGTCCGTTCATAAATAATATCTTCATTTTTCTACCCCAGTTAGAAACATGTATACATTATTCCGTGTGGCACCAATACGTTGTAAAGATTATTTCTAATTAATTATTACGCAAATATTGCTGATGGATAGTAGACTGAACAAGAATCTCGTGTTATTTTTAGTTTAACATTTGAATACCTAAACAAAGCGTTGGCTTTTATAATCAATTTTATTCCAAGGATTAGTACTAAAAATACTGCCGCAAGTCTTTTTTTTTACAAAGATACGTCAAATTATAGGGGATGGTACGAATGTTTGAGAAGTATAAGGTTCTTGGTGTTAGAACTGAGATATCACGAAATCTTCGACACGATGAATAAATGAATCAAGCACGATTTACTCAGTATCCATCTCTCTTATTGGCGATTAAATGCAAAAACAAATATGCTGAGGTAATCTTTTCTCATTTTCCAATCTTTCAATATCTACATTTTTAACTAAAGCAGAGCAGATATTTTTGCTCTGGCTATTCATAGAAAAAAAGAAATGTTAGGCAGACGGCGGCGCTCGCACACACATATGAGTGAATTGAAAAGAAAATGTAAAATTGTAAAATTTTGTATGACTCATTATTTTCTTTTTACCGGCGACTACTGCAGCTCGTTCCTATGGGTTTTATACAGTTTTAAAAATTAGGTTCATATCTGATGCTGATGATGAAATCGATTAAATCACTTACTATACTGTAAATAAAGTGGTTGATTTGAAAACTTTTATCATTCTAATAGAATTGCATTAGTCTTTAGCTACGAATTTCATTACGGCTCTAAATTCTGCAATAATTATTTTATTGAACTTCGCGCTTTCTAAACAACTTCAATTAATTTCAATCTTTCGTGCACAATAGAGTTCCCAAAGACACAAAGACAACAAGAAACAAGACTTGTGATACTAATTCAACTAATCGGCGATATATTCTTCCATTTTAGTTGGTGAGTATTCGAAAATATTATTCTATCTTTTCTGTGTCATAATATGTCATTTTTTTCTCGAAAAAATAGTTTTGAATACCCTTTTCTTATTTTCCCAAGTTTTTAATAGTCTATTCACTGGAAATTACTCCTAACAATTCCGAAATTGTTATGAATTTCATCATATGAAATCTAGAAAGCGAATATGATACTGATGGAACAATGTGCCATTATATAGTCTCATTGCTTGCTTGCTTGCATTAACTGTTCATGTATAATTTTGAAACTTTCACGTTTCATTACCTCTGCATCATTTTTCATTGTTCTTTCTTTTTTTAACTGTATATCATGAACTAGCTTACTCCTCTAGATTATTTCCTCTTTCTGTCTTCTATTGTACTCTTCTTAGCACTCCTGGTCGCGTATACAGCCGTGTCCTTTTGATATGAGCAATATAATCCTATGATATGCCAAGCAATATAGCATATAGTGTAATAGCATAGCGTCAATATTTGGAATTCTTGGAGAGTTTTCCAAGAGAATGATCTATGTTTAGAAGTTTAAAGTTTAAAAGTTTAAAAGTTAGAAACTCCTGCAATCTAAAGAAACCCCAAATGCTTATTTTCAACTTGGAAAAAGTCTCGTGGAATCCCCAATACGTGTAGAGGACTTTTATGGTATTGAAGTTTCCAGAAGTCCTTGGTTTTTCAATTTTTCAATTTTCCGATATATGAAATATTTTTCGAGCCTGATTGTAGATCTTGTTTGAAAGCAAAGAAAATCAGTGGTCCTATAAAAAATATCTTTTCATCATGTCACTTTTTCTAAAGTGAGGCAACAGTTGTATTAGCAAACGTAACTTTGATGCTTTGTATAACATCAAAAGCTATTTCAACTTTCAACGAATAAGCAACTCAAGAAACATATTCATTAAAATTCCAAACAATACTGATAAGAAAACTTCTTTTTTCAAATTATAAAATCCTTAACAAAGTTTCTCATAATAATTTTAAAATAATTTTTGCTCTCTATGATCATGAGTTATCTGAAAAGCACCAAAGAAAATAGATTGTATTGAGGCGTCAGCTTTTCGCTTGTTGCAACTTCACCAATATACTGCTTATTTCACCATCGATTTTCTGTAACTTCAGCAGAATGGGTTGTCAAGAATTGAAGTAAGCTGTAATAGTAAACAAATGGCAAAAAGCGTCTGATTGCATTACTTGTAATTTTGTATTTGTAGATTTTTTCTCCCCGGCATTGCTTATTCGTTCATTTCTGCGCAAGAAGCTGTTGACAAACTTTCTACGCTGATTTCTATAATCATCACTCTTTGGCTAAATTAGTTTTTCTAGTGTTTCCGAATCTACATAGCATAAAAATCTTTTCTTTTTCATATATGGTCTTCCCCTTATCTTTCTCATTTCATAAGTATCTCAACTTAGAAAACACGAAGATTAATGACTTCCTGACAGCTAAATGTTTTCCATAAAAGAAAAATTTTTTAATTTCTAACTCAACGAATGAATCATGACGTTGAAAAAGCCGATGGTGTCTTGTATGCTGAGGAAATATTATTTAATTTAATATGCGTAAAGTGATTTGTTACTTAGTTATAGTCATAGCTGGACTATATTGCAAGTGTAGTGTAAGATATTTTAATTTCGGTCTGCAATCATGACTAAGATACATCGTTCTTTTTATCTACAAAAAGACTTCTAAGTTTTTATTCCTACTCAACAGATGACATTTTCAAAACAACTATAAAATCATAGGCATGCTATGAAAGATTAGTTGTAAATGCAAATATTTACTTGTCTGAGTGAATCGACTTTCTTAGACGCCTATAAATAAAATAGATTTAGTATTTCATAGTTATTGTAATAATAATTTTAAATTTAAAAGAGTGACTCATAACCCTTCCGAGCGTATTTCAAATCATCGTCACAGACTTAGATATAATTAGAATATCTAATTGAAGCATGAGTATTACTGAGGTTCTAACATTAATCATGTAAAATTTACCCGAATGACTGTGCGTGTAAACCTCATTCTATTGCAATAATTCAGTAAACCAATACTGCTGATAAGCAAAGTGAGCTTACTAGTTTTTAGATAGGCATTCACTAAAGTGTAAGCATTGATAAGACAAGATGAAAATTCTTAATCAATATTTGATTGAGAAGCTGTGGATATAGTTATTCAGCATATAATTTATGATTTTATTAGCATGTTTTTATTTTTTCGATAAGATAATTATTTTATAGTTCTCTGACACTTCTGTTTTGATTGTTTTACTAATAGTTTCTGACTGTACTTGTATGGGAATTTCGTTTTCTACCAGAATTTACTGAACAAGTCTTATTATCTCTGATCAACAACGATGACTTCCGTAGGACATTACAGTCTTCTACAGCTTTTATCTATGAGGATAATTTATATAAACATGACGTATGTTCTCTGTATATCCAACGTAAAGCTCTTTTCTTAATGATATGTCTAAGGTTTCAATAGCGTTTTTGGAGTCGTATGTTGATACAATTTACTTTCTCATAAAAAAATATATGATTAGTTTGGAGAGCGCGTAAAACATATTCTATAAACATACAGGATATGGCCAATGATAAGCAACAAAGTCTGTAGATTTCTGTGTGACATATAGTATGGTCTAGGTAGATACTTGTAACTTTTCCTCATTATTGTCATTATTGCCACATGCTATCGAATGTTTCAATCTATCATAACCCAGAGCGAGCAGCATGAGAAAAAGAACATTACGAATAAATCAAACACTACCACTAAAACATTTAGATCCTATTTACTATTGTATTTCTCAGAGAAGCTACAATAGTCAGGCATGATCTGCATATTTCAGTTCTCTCGAAATCCTTGCCAGTGTTAAACCATTAAAAATCGACTTTTTCTTATCGACATAGAGCAGTTTTTCGATAGATCAAGGAGTATTTTCTTTCAAAAACTGTATGAATAATTGTGTTTTATGGTAGCCAAAACTAAAAATTTTCCCCACTATATTTAGACAAAAGGGCCAAAAAAAGCATTTGAAAGTCTTTCTCATATTCATCCTATTAGCATAAAGTGGCTTCTCTTTTTTTACGTATTTCTGCTATCCATCAAATTTACTGGAAAAAAATACTTTTAGTGATTGATTCGATTTGAAGTGATTTTTTCTCTTTGTTGGTCCTTTGGAGAATGAAGAACTGAAGAGCTGACCTTGTTTGCATTCGATGCCGTTTTGCTTTACATGTTTTTATTTGCTTATCTATCGCTGTCTCTTTCTCATTCGTCGGCCCGTGCGTTTTGTTTTTCTTATTCACAGAATATACGAGTTCTGTATGAGGAGGTGGCTTTCGCTATTTTTTTCTCGTTTTCTTTCTTAGGCACATTGTTTGTCTCGTTTTACCATCATTTCTTCTCATTCTTTTGCTTTTCTAATCGAACAGGATATAATGGCATGCGTCATACTGCTTCATAAATCTGGAGAACATGAATTCTCCTGTTTTTCTACTTATTTCGACATATGCATGCAACCCGTATATTGTTTACCAGGGTTATTTGCATTGAGCAATGTCGCTAGTGTCTCACATCATAATATTCAACTGTTTAGTTTCATTAGAATAGACTTGAAAAAACTATTATTTCTCTTCTGTTTTAATTCTATTATTTCTTCTATACTAGATGATTTAGTGCTGAGTTTATTTATATCTGCTATTTTCGCTAAAGTCAGGTATTTCTATTAAAACCCTAAAACATAGCTATGAAAATCGGGTTCTTTCTTTTTTTAGTCAGCACATTTCATGATGGCTAAAAGCGAACAAATCACAGATATCAATAATTTTAAAAGAGACCCACCAATCAGACCGGAGCCAATTCTAGCATCATACCAATCTGCATTTGAAACAATATCAAGCGTCACTTCTCAACGATCCATTGATATATATGCACTCGACATATCTTCGATAAAAGGCCGATTCGCATGGGAAAAAATAGCGATTGGCGACACCTACATGCCCGTTATTTTTCGGTATGTAAATATTATTTTAATCTATTCTCAGCTTTTCCATTGGACACAGTCAATATAAGTGTTTCATTCAATCCTTGAGACTAGCAATAGGTTGCATGCAATGGGAAATTAGTTAGTAGTTCCATCGTCATATCGTAGCATTGCTTAAGTAACTATCGATTGAATACATGACACACACGCACACATACATGCAAAACAAATAAAGCAGAATGAGAAAAAAACGTATATTAGACATGCATTCATAGAAGCGTGAAAATTTGATAGACCCGCATGTTATTGCATTCTTTGTAAGCGGAATCGACAAAATATGTTCAATAGACGGTTTTCCTGCCTTACCCTTGGGATAAGATTTTTAAGCATGCCTACCTAACATGTATGACATTGGTTTTGAGACTGTCGAAGTATTTCATGGCGCAATTTTTGTTTCTTTTGTTGTCACTTCCTCATGTGTCAATGAGTAATATCATTGCATGGAAGCGTTCCGTTGTGAAAGAATAGAGTAGAAAGCGTGGATTGTACTATGCAAAGCAGTTTTCGCTGGTAATGTGACTTACATATGGGCTTCTCAAAAATAAAAACAAATACTTTGCACATGCTGAAATGTTGCTTTGATAAAAGGAAATGCGTACCTAGTACGAAACAGATGGATACCAAGTACTCAAGTTTCCATTACATTCCTGATCACTAATCAATGATCTATACTTATGTTGTAACAAAAAGAATCAAAATTATCGAATAAGTTGCGATTGGTCCTATGTTGCGAATACTGGATCATTTTTTTACGGTAAACCGCGGTATTTATGCTTCCTGCGGTAAAGAAAACCGGTAACCGGACCGGTAAAGCCGCGGTTTATGGTACATGGGGTATTGCGGAAATGATTTCACCATTGTATTTGTACGTGTCAACATAGCATGATTCATAATTTGTAAAAAAAAATGTTTTCATGTCAATATGCTAATAGAATTTAAGACAGTTTTTGTTAATGGATTCGATAAAAGTTTTCATTGTGCTTACTATTTTATATAGAGCACATATTCATACAGTATAACACAAATGGTTTATGAAAGTATTTGCCATCATTATGATGCCTACTTGAAAACAAAATGAAAGTTAATCATATGATGCGTTCGGAGAATATCCCCGGAAACTCGATTAACAGTGCTAGGAAACCAAACCTAGCAGATATAGCAGATAGAGATATACAACGTATAGGGGGAGGGGTCTATGGGGTACAGGAATTATAGGGAGTACAGGAGTTATATGGGGTACAGGAGTTATAGGGGGTACAGGAATTATTGGAGATATAGGAAATCTTTTTTTTCTCTTTCATCTCTTAATTTTATTTAATTATAATTCAACTAAAATAATTTTCTTTCACAGATATTACTGATGTCAATATTTATTTTTTGATCCTTGCTCGTTGTTTATCAATATCCTATATCCCTATAACTCCTGTACTCCCTAGACCTCCTAGACCCCCCTATCTGCTGTATATCTCTATATTTGTTATATCTGCTGGGTTTGGTTCCCTAGCACTTAATCGAGTTTCCGGTGATATTCTCGGAGCGCATCTAATCAAGTTAATCAAGAACTCTTGAAAGCTCAATTAAAATGTAGTACAAATGTGTCTATCCTGAAAATACTGATCTTATCTTATGGGCTATTGATATCATGTGTTTTGAAATTAAAGTATTCTCTTTCGATAATGCTAAGATTAATATTACCAAACAGTTCTTGAACTATATGTTAATGAGCTCTCTTTAATAATACTGCGAAGAAGAAAATACCCATGTTGAAAAAAACGGAGTAAAATTGACGGTTTACCGCGGTTTTACCGCTCCGGTTACCGGCTCCCATCAACACAAATTTACCGCGGTAAACCGGGGGTTTCAGGAAACGCCGCAGCTTACCGCCGGTATTTTTCGAATAACCGGTTCGCTGCGCGTTTATAAAAAATTGTTGCTAAAAGTCATTGATCGGGCTATTTTAGGCATCTTTTTTTCCTATATGATGACGGTAAAAAAAGGGTACCGGAAAAACTAGCGGTTAACCGCGGTATTACCGCTCCGGTTACCGGCTACCCTTTCATACAAATTTACCGCTTTTCTAAAATTACCGCGGTTTACCGCAAAAATTGAAGCGGTATTCGCGACATGGGTAGTTCATTCACTATTTCACATTTACATATGTTCGCATGCTTAATGAGTCTCCTATCACACAGCAGTTATTCTCCATTAGCAAGCCTAATAACATCTGATAACTAAGAAATAAGAGAAATTTATACAAACATACGCTTCTGCTATACCCAAACAGAAAAGTAATGAATTCATTTATGATGGAACATAAAGTACCTTGGCTAAAAGTATTATTGAAAGATGATGAATAAATATCTGATGAATTGAATTTTTATCACATAAAAAGGATAGATCTTGAAAAGTAATGAACTAATCGTCTTCATAGAATTTTAAATTTATAATGAATAATAAAACAAGAAAATGTAAAACTATTCGACTGTTTAACTGTATGCATTATTTTAGTGGCACTACAAAATTTTTTTGTGTTGCAATGGTTCATAACTTACTCGCTGAATATCCGAAAGATATCATTCGTCGAGCATCAAATTATCAGTATCAAAGGCCAATTGTTTTATATGCACCAACTGCAGACGAAATAGTACTACTGAATAAGATAAATTCTCAACATTGTAATTGGGCATTTTCAAGCAGCCCATTTAATTTCACTGATGAACTTGTACGCGTTGCTGAGTTTCTTCCATTTTATGAATATCTTAATGTGTCTGCTAAAACAACACCTGGTTCACAATCGACATCAGAAATACAACAGGCAATAAAACCGTTACCAGCTTTTCATTCTAGTATGTCTGATTCTCTTCATGAACGTCTAAATCCGCCAGTTGTCACAAAATCAGTTCCGATAAATCGATTTAGTGCATCAGAATTACCTCGCAATGAGAAGACTTCATCAGCTGAGATACGAATCGAGCCGACAACATCTGCACCATATCCTTCGCAACTACCGAAACATGATGAGCCACCCTTGACATTACTACGACAGATTTCACAGAATCCCTCTATGCAATCACAACAAAACAAATTAACTCCACTACCTAACAAACAGCAAAGAGTAATCTCGTCAAAAGCTATTATTAATTCAACAAATACAGGTAAATAATATATACGCCAAACAAATATTTCAATATTTAATGACATTCAAAGACTTAAAAGATCAAAAATTAATTATTCTGTTTTGCTTCTAATTTTGAGTATCGTATTTTGTAGTACTTCTAAATAAATCTTCTACTGCGCTTGTTGTAATGTCTTCATCTCAATTGCCAACGTCCACTGTACCAATGGAAGTGATCAATACTTCAACTTCAGATCCTATTAGTTCATCGTCGAAAGTAGCCAGTGGTCAAAAGCTATCAACACTCTCATCTGAAAAACAGTTCACGCCAATATCTAGAAGTTCATCATCATCATCTTCCTCGTCAACATTGAAAACAACTCATCTAAGTTCTGGTTGGTTACAAATCAATAAACTTTATACGCCTTATGTATCATCAACTACATCAAATCACCATTTATATAAAATTCCTATTAGTCTACTGACATTTTATGATCTTCTTAAAACTCAAACGCCTGAACCTAATGCAAATGAATCCAAAGATGTGTCAACCACGTTCGAGCAAACACTTGTTACACCTCAAGAAATTGAACTTATCAATGAACTTTGTTTAAAACAAAGTATTAAACCATTTTCTATTGATATAAAACTCATGGATCTATTGACGTTCTATAAATATTGTTCAACTAATATACTTTTCATTAAGGAACTACCTTTAAATGAACCGAAAGCATCTATTTGTAAAGAATGGGCATCGATTGCACAAATTAATGGTGGTATTTGTCGTTTACGTAATATAACAACATTACATGAACAAACTGTACCATTTATCGGAAATAGTTTATTAAAGAATTTTATTATTTCATCTCAATGTTTATCATCGGCAGTGTTAACAATACCGACAAAATTTGAAATGGAATTTCTTCAATTAATTCTATTCTTCAGTAACACGTCAATAGATTTACAAAATTCTAAATTAATTGATATTGAATCTGTACGAAAAGAATACACAGTTGATTTAATACTTTTATTCAATGATAAATTTCCATTAAATGTTCTTAATTATCAACATCAGAGTAGGAAAACAAATATTTTTCATAAAACAAAACAAAACAAAACATATATTTATTATCTATTTAGCTAAAGAACCATCAACTTCCCAACGACAATCTATTCAGTCAGATTCTTTGGCAGCAACAAACACAGTAAGTTTAACAGATGAATTTATTTCTCTTAATATTCTATTTCTTTTAGTTTGCGGAATCAACACCTCCGCCATCACCAATATCACTAGGAACAAATAATACTTCTACAACTTCAACATCTCAATTACCCTTAACATCAACGTCATCCAATCCAACTAATCGTTATCAAAAACAAATTATGTTCCATGGTCATTCAATGACAGCATATATATGTTCGGGTCTTGAATCCAATACTCAACGCCAATGCATTTCAGTGAAAGCAGTGTGTAATATGCTTTATCCCAATTCATCAATGCTGGATAAACTTGAAGTACAAATGCTTCGTTTATTACGAATGAAAAAAATCAATCGATTTCGACCACAAAATCAACAATCAATAGGTTTTACACGTTTGGTTAATATTCAAGATATTGAAAATCATTGGGATTATATTGAAAAAGGAATGCATTCATTATCAAATAGTAAGTAATATATTTCAAAAATAAAAAAAACTAAACATTAGCGTATTTTTTTTCTAGACAATGACAAGGTAGAATTTGTACAAATTACTCCGCCATTACCCGATAAAGACTTAAAGGCAAGTACAGCAGATACAATAGAAAACAATAGTAATAGTAATAATTTTCAGCAAGAAAATTCGATTGAAGTAAATCGAAACGATAAAAGACCATTGGAGAGTGCTACGGAAGAAGATACACATCTTTTCAAACGAATCTATAAACGTGGACAAACTTCACCGAATGATAGTAATGAACAATCAAATTTGTTATTAACGGATTCAACTGAACATATTGATCAAACCGCACAGGACAAAAATGACGACGATAACAAACCTGAAAATCGCGCAATGACGAGTTCTACTGTGAATACTATTCGTCTATTAAACGATCAGCCAATTAAAAAGAAAATCTTTTCGCAACGAAATGAGCGAATACCAAGTAATTTATCTTTATCATCGCGGAAACAAATGACTCCCATAAAAAAGAAGATAAAACTTGTTCGAAAAAGACGAACTCCAGGCACGCGAACACGAAAACAATCAATAGCGACTTGGTTTAAAAAATATAAGATTGAAGATTTTTCTATTTGCCTGGATTTTTATAATCCTTTGACTGAAACTTAAAAGTATTAACTCATTTCAATCGCTCAAGTCTTTTGCTCTTTTGTGGATAGTAATTGCCGATCAGATAAATCGATATGATTTTGCAAGCCATATCAATGCAAATATCGTTCGTTTTATCTGAATAAATGTTCAATTCTCTTCCTTCATAAGTGCATTTTTGTTTTATTCGATAAAGATGATATTATCTAGACAAGCATCACTACATTTTTGTTTTTCTTCTTCTTTTCTTCTGTTAATTTTGTTTCTACCCACATATGGATATCATGGAACTTACAAGTGTCTTTTATATTAATAATGAGCTGTGTTTTTTCGTTGGCGTTCTTCGTTCTTTATTCAATATTTATGTTGCATGCCACTATTGAAATACAATTTCCCATACGAAACAATGCATGATGAGCAAAATTAATTCAAGCAATGTTTATTTCTCGTTTATCAACATGTCATATATTGACATGAAATGTGAACGCATGATATTTAATGCTTTTATTAAGTGTTTCAAACATGATTGAAAACTGGAACATACATGTATATCACATGAAAATACTGATGGATCCTGACAAAATAGATTTTATCCTCGGAGTTAACAATAGAAAATATTTCTTGTCTTCAATTGGAATTGAGCTATGAATAGCATCTGATGAATAATGCTTGTGCTCTGTACTGTAAATATCAACTGGTTCAATCAATTAGTGGTCTGTTCAATGTTCTGCGTTATTGCTAGTATCGAGCTGACATATAATAAGTCAAATCGTACAGTATGAGAGTAGGGTTGGTAACAGACTCGGCCTAGAAAATCAAGTGTAGGCATTATCAGTTTTGAATCATTTCAACTTATGCATAGAATTCACAGAGCTTGGTTCACCCATCTAATATCTATACTGGCGTGGCAGAGAGATGTATATATAATCTTAATAACTTTGAACCAACAATAATTATCTATGTAAAGTTTTCAGTAGTTATACGAGGAAAAGTTTGCAATTCTTTGTATCTTATATTTTAAAAGACAACGTGACTTTGAGATGCACGATTTGTTCTTAAAACCTCCAAAAACAATTTCCATAGCAATGATGACTCTATGTGGCACAATTATATAGCACTCCGCTAACTTATAGCAACGTTTCGTCTGAATAATGAGCTTTACAATAACTTCGTTTTCATTATGATAACACTGAAAGATGTACATGATTCTTCTTCTTTTTTATTTCTGAAAATGCTCCATGATTGCCTAATATTGTTGGCGAGTTACTAAAACTCAAACAAGTCTTCTCTAGTTTTGTTTTAAATACGAATCTTTCATTCCACACAATTAAATTAGAAATTATTCTATACAAATAATAACATCAAATGGCTTGTCTAGTACAACGTAAATATAAAGAAAAGAAAACAGAATACTGACTACTTTGTGTAAACACAATTGATGAGAAAATAAATTAAAAGAAGCATAATAATCACAAATACATATTTGCCAGTCGATCAATAGCAGAAAAACGTAACAAAGAAAAAGAACATACGAGATTAAAAACAAAGAGACAAAAAAAGATTGGTGGTTGCGATTAAGATGAACATTTTCTTTTGCACAGCGTTGCCCTACAAAAATGATCCTATTAATATTAATAGCAGATAATACCCCTGGTCATGATTTACTCTTGTAAAATAGAGTAGATTCAAATAGAGTGCATTTATTGAATGAAGACAACGTTTTTTCAACATCAATTGCCAATTTATTTCTTTCGTTTACTTCTTTTGTATAAGAGTTCGGGTTGCATAGTAGAAATATCAGAATCGTTAAAAGAGCAGAACGAGAATTGAAAAAGAAAAAATTACAATAGGAAAATTTTATGCGAATCTCTAGCAAAGCAAAATTAAAAAACTCAAGATACATTTCTCAAAAGATGCTCGAAAAAATTAATAAAAAACAAAAAGCTTACGACACTCGGTATTCCCAGGCGGTCACCCATCCAAGTACTAACCGAGCCCGACGTTGCTTAACTTCAGTGATCGGACGAGAACTGGTGTATTCAACGTGGTATGGCCGTAAGCGAACATCGCTGTACTATTCTTCCGACTAAACATTACTTCTCGATGAGCATCGAGAATTGTTTTTAAATGCATAAGATTTACCAATATGTTTATTTTGAAAAACAACACGTTGACCATTATGGC